GGAGAGGAGAGGAGAGGAGAGGAGAGGAGAGGAGAGAAGAGAAGAGAAGAGAAGAGAAGAGAAGAGAAGAGAAGAGAAGAGAAGAGAAGAGAAGAGAAGAGAAGAGAAGAGAAGAGAAGAGGAGGAGGAGGAGGAAGGCAGGAAGAAAAATAAAGGTCCTGGAAGGTGACTCACATTCCAAGTTCACTTTGGCTTATAACCAAATGCCTGCTTTTCAGTTTACAGTGTGAAAGGCAGATGTTTTACTCCTGTTGGCACCTGGGCATGCGTTCTTGGCAGGGAGTCATACAGGTGAGGAATCTTGGAATCTTAGCAAACACGAACTGGACCAAAGAACCGGCTGCCTTCATCAGCTCCTCAAAACCTTATAACCAAACTTCTCCTTCTACCTAAAGGCTACTCCCTCCAAAAGAAGGAATTACTTCATATTCTATAGCATGGGCTCTCCTTCTTGATTCTACATACATCTTTCCAAAGTTGATGCCTTCTATCCTGGGACTCCGTATTATTCCTACTCCCCTTTTCTAAACCAGGTTTTCACCCTGTGTGTCTTCCCTTGCTTTAGATGGTCCTGGTCCTCACACCTGTCTTCCAGATAAATCTCAGCAGTTCCTATTCCTTTCGTTATGTAACCAAGAAAGCTTTTGTAACTTGGAGCCCAACATCTTTACCCTCATCACTTTGTCTTGGAGGAGATTCAGACATTGGCTTGATTGTGTTGTGACCTGTATTAACTTTGGGGACCTACCCATGGAAAGAACCAGTTTCCTGGTCATGACTTGGCACTCAGGGCAAGCAGTGATAAAAATATTTTCCTTATTCTTGAGAGAGATTAGAATTCAGGGCTGAGCTCGAAGGCCCCAGAGTTAGAGACCTTGAATTTCTATTTTTCTTCTACCACTTAGTAGGCAGGGAACCTTCAGTAGGGAATTACCATCTTTGTCTCTCAGTCTCCCCATTTGTGCAAAAGAGGTTATTCTAATGTAAACCTTAGAGGCCAGCTTTGAGTAGCAAATGGATTGTCTATCATCATTTATCGGACACCTAGTAACTACCACACACTGGTGTTCCTCTCTGTCAGTACTTTTTCTAGATTCCAAACAGCCCTTTTCTTTATGACAACATCATGCCTCAGAAGTTTCACAACACAGGTGAGTGGTTATGGTTTCGAGTAACACCCTCTTGACGTGTGATACAGGGCAGATGTGATTAGATAGGTTAAGCTTGTTTTCCATTGACCCCATGCAGACACCACTCAGCGCCATGAGGCACCACAGCAGTCACTTCATAAACATCATTCTGTGTTCCTTTATATGATAATTAGGCAGATGATGACATGAAAGGAGGCATACAACAGACTCAGAAAAAGTACCAAGTGTATTACATTCATGGGTCCTAGGAAACTAGAGACATGCCATGCCGTGTTACCACAAAAAGATCTGCATCCAAACTCAGGTCCTCTGGAAGAGCAGCAAGGGTTCTTAACAGCTGAATCCCCTCACCAGCTCTGTCACTGCATTTAACGACTTGGAAATGGGCTTCCTGCTGTCTACCTGGAACAAACAGCGCTGGATAAGTCCTGATCCACATCAAGGAGATTCCAGGCCCTGAGTCCATGCTTTCCTCCAGAATGCTTGCTACGCCCTCTTCTGATGGATCAGTGAAATGCAATTCCAGGCCCTTTGGCCCCACTCTGTTCCTTGCTAGCAAAATAGCT